CTCCTTTGCTTTCACTGAAAATGGCACATATTTCACCTGTACATTTATACAGATTAACCTGGCTGCTGACCCACAGCAGCCTGCATTGGCAGTGTTTTACATTTGCAGTGTTGTTGGTAAGTGCAGTGTGTTGTGCCTTGTAGATGTGCTCTGCTGCACCTTGTACCACTTTTGTTTTCCACTGTGGGTGGCTTGCTTCTCAACTGGGCCTGGTTTGGGGGTTGTCCCTCCACAGGATGGAGGGGAGGCCACAGGGCAGGTTGTGACCAACTTCATGTCCTCAGACTCTCCTCAGTGATGTGGTTTTGTTTGTTTTTGATAGAAATTTTGATGGTTTAGAAGTAAGTGACAGCCAGTCAGGAAAAGGGCAACAAGGAATGGACTGTTCATCATCTCTTGACATCCTTCTTGTCACACTAAGAGAAATACACATACCCACAGGACTTGAAACACTGAGTAAATGTAATGTCTTCACTATAACAAACTGCTATCTGTTCCCAAAGAATTGACTTTATCTTTATGTGATTTCTTATTAAGCTAGGAAATACCTACTGGGATGTAAAGCAAAATGTTTTTTCTTTGCAGAATTTCTGCTGACATACAAGGGAAAGTCCATTCCAGGACCGCATTCACTATATTTTCAGCAAACTTACCAATTGCTTACTTTTTAATTATATATGGTTTTGGTAGGAAAATGTCAATAACAGCAAGTTTGGGTTTTTTTACTTTTAAGTTCAGTTCCATTTATGCAGCTGTTCCAGCTGCACTTAACAAACTTATTCACTAGGTGGAAAACAGAAGCAAGCACTTGACCTGATTGTATAGATTTCAGACATTTTTTGGGGTTTTAAAATGAAATTTTCACAGAAGGGCCTCAATATCTGAAATGAAGGCAAATATTTTGAGCTTTTCTTTAATATGTACATTAAGATATAAAATTGTAGTAATTTAGAAAATAAATGATAATAATTTTGAGTAACAGTTCTCTCAGCTTTCAAATATTTTTCTGTGAAAAATCTCTACTATCATTTAGTATTGTTTTATTTTTGAAGAAGTGAATATACTCCAGGTTCATAAGTCTCATGAGAATTTATTTTCCATGCTGTTTATTTACTGAAAGATATTATTTATATACACCAAAGAGTAGAAAAGGACAAGAAGACTGCTCATGTATAAAATACTGGAAGCTTTACTATGTTTCTATTATTATTGAAGAAAAATTGGTCATGGTGTTTCTTCAGTTTTACCTACCTGCAAATTGTTCCATGTATTCACTCTCTCACAGTAAGATTTACCCAGTCTAGAATTTGAGCATCAGCTTCATCTTTGAAGCTTTCTTGTGCTACATTGAGAATTCCTGTAGTCCTCCAGGCTCCAGGGCAGATTGCAGTGTTAATGCACCAGCTGACCCAGCTGCAAGTCAGGCACACACAGTCAGGATATTGCAGCAGCAAGCCTGAGAGAAGCATCCGAAACAGCAACTGAGAAAACAGCACCAGTGTAATGTTTCTGTGGGATTCAGCTGCTGTGTATGCTCCTGCTTACAGAACTGGAGATCTAAAGGAAGCTCTTTGGAGCAGAAACCATTCTTTTGCTTCTTACGTCTGCTTGTGTGCCTGTTTTTGCTCCCCTCGCTGAGCCATTTCCATGATGCAGTGGGATTCCTGAGCCCCATGCCAGAGGCAGGTGCGTGCCAAGAAAGCTGTGGAGTGGCTGGTGCAGCATGGACAGGCATGTACTCAGGATTGTCCTTGCCACAGCAGGAAACAATGGAAGTGCTAAGGCAGTCCCAAGATGCCCCCTCCACAGGCTGAGGGAAGGCAAGTCCAAGTGTGAGTTCATAAGAAGTGTGGAAATAACTTCTGTGCTTTCCCTTCAGATGCTGACTATGCTAATATTATTACCCGTGTGGGAGTACATGTAGGAAAGAACAGACTCCAGAGACTTCTAACTAATTAGGAGCTTGCTGGTTGGCATAAGTAATGAATTATGAGTGAGGTGATACATGAAGTAATTTGATTTTTTACCCTTAAATTGTAACACAGCATTGCCTTGACTAGGAAACAGAGACTGACCTTGCATTAGTTGGGGAATAGCATGTACAGATGTGGTTGTGTGTTGGATTGGAAATGAACTCCCAGGGTTGTTCTGATATTGAGCATTTCAATAATATTTCAGTGGGGATTAGTCTGTAATAATAATGCCTAAGCAATGCAGATGAGTAAGCATGTCATATATAGCATTATAAGATCAGTAATCATGTGTGATTTAAGAAAGCAAAGATGAAAAACAGAATGATGAGGGTATCAAATGGGCCTGGTTCAGATCACTTGCAGGGATAACAGTCTCTTATAAGCAAAACCAGCTTAGGTAGTTTAATTTCTTCCTGATATGATTATGTACAACAAAAGCTACAAAATCCTTCAGAGCAGCAAACCTAATGAAACTACTGTGCACGCCTGGATGACCTTATTTGTCAGTGTGCAAGGAGCACCTCACACCCCCCCTCCCTTACAGTGCTGGTGCATCTTTCCCTCCTGCCTACCAGGGAAGAGTGCCTAGAAGTCATTGTTCTGTTGGCAGAGGTAAACAGAAATTTGTCATAATAGACGGTGAAAAGGAACAAGCCTGGTTATCACTTTCCATGCCAATAGTTGAAGGGACTTGTATAATTGTTAGCCTGCTTAAAATACTGCTTGGATCATCTGTTCCACATGTACTTTGGACAGCAGAGTATTGCCCAGCATTGGATTGCAAACTCAGAACCTATGTAAAAGAACAAAACACATGACAGTATTATGCTATGGCAAAAGATTCACCATTGCTTTGCAATGCAGTGCATTGTTTATGTCCTGTATATGCATTGTGGCAAAGTATTTGTTTAAAAAAATCTTAGATGGTTACTGAAAGCCAGATTGTACTACTGAGAATTAAAAGGAAGGATTCAGTCTGGGAGGAGGGAAGGGAGGGGAATTTTCCTTTGGACTCGGATCTTGTGGTTGGGTAAACCCTGTATAAACATGTGTCACACACTGGCACAGCACCTGACGTTGCATCGCGGGTGCCAATGTACATTATCTTCAGTTGCAGGAAGTACCGTGACTAACTCTTGTATTCATTATGAATGCTTACGGGTTTTTATAAGACTGAAAGCAGCATTATTTTGGTCCATAGCATCTCTACAGCTATGCAACATGTCTGCATGTTCAGAAACAGGTAATCACATCTGTTCTTTCTGAACTGTCAAAAAGGCCAGATGTGAGTAAACATTATGAGAGCTCAACAGCTTCCAAATGGTACCAAATGGTGGTTTGGTGTCAGCCAAGTTGGAGAATGCACCAGTTAGCTATGCTGCTGTCTGCTTCTGACAACCTGGGTTGCTGGATGCATTGCAGAATTTTGTAGTAGTGGAAGTTTATAAGCATAGAGGAATTCTTGTCCAAGCATGCTGTATAATGGTCAAAATGTGAATAACTGAAGTGAGGTCATCATCAGCTGGAATAGATAGAAGATCCTGTCAGACATCTAGAAATGAGCAGGAGCACAGGCTGATGCCACATCAGAAAAAGATTCAGCAGCTAATCCTAGTAGAAGTACTACCACGGATTACAAGCCTGTGCACCAGGACTGCAGTCTCTTCTGAATTATTTCCTCAATCTGCCACCATTTCCTCAAATACAGAGGTAATGGTGGTGGTTTGGCAATTCTTGGTCAGGGCAGCAGTTCTTCATTATAAGGTGAAAATGTGTTACATCATCTTCTCAGTCAGGTGGAAGGATCTCTATAGAGCCTTGTTGCTATTTGGATAGTGCTACTTCTACACTTACTGGTGAACATTTGAATATATACAAGGACCTTGCTTGGTTTTTGGGAGGCTTTTCATCTTTAAATCTCATGCTGCTACAGCAACTTGCTGATGCAGTGCAGACATACTGTTTGTTTACAGTGAATATTTGATGCTTGTATCGGATCAATTCTCCTAAAAGCTGCATATTAGTACTGAAAATGAGGATCCTGAGACGGGTGCTCCTGAAATGATCTGAAAATTCTGAAAGGATGATCCTTTCAGAATTTTCCAGGATATTTAGGATTTCATGTATTTTTCCAGAATACCTGGGCAGCTGGTGGTTTTACTAGGTCTTCTCAGACTGCAAACAATGGATATGTGGCTTTCCAAAGAGTTGCAGTCCTGCTGAAACTGCTTATGTAGGTTACCTTGCCCACCCATGTGCAATAAGGACATATCTTTTTGAAAGTTTGAGGCCTTTTGCTGCATGTGGCCTGCCTTTGTTGTCTGTGGAATTACCTTACCATTTTCCAAAAATGAAGAAACTGCAGAAGAAGGTGTTGTAGCATGTGAGGGAAATTTTATATACACTTAATCACTATGAATGCCCTTCACTTAATTTATACCTGTCCTGCAGAAATTGAAGAGAGTTACAGTGGAGCTGTATTTATGTAAAAATAAGGAATAAAACTGTTAAAATCTGATGTATCTCTGTCTGGATTCTTGCTGTATTCAATTGTTCTATTAACACTGACATCCCCTTGTGGCCTCATAGGGAGTCTGAACCTAAAATTATAGTTCTGTTATATCATTGTGTGCTTTACCCTTCTGTTTAATCAGTTGAAGTGCATTATAAAGCTCAGAGGTCAGAGGTAGAGAGCAGAAAATGAGGAAAGATAGCCTTTTTAAAATGAGAAACAACTATCTTTAGTTGTAAGTGTTCCCAGACTTCATATTTGTGGGCTCTGTATAGTATACTAGCACGTTGGCGTCGTTTTTAATAACCTTTTACAGAACATATGGCTCAAGATTTATCTATATGCAGAGCCTTGTGGACAGAACTTGTAAATTGTAATATAAAAAAATCTCCAGATGTACATGTTATTTCTTACTAACACAGAATGATTTTCTTGGGAAGAAGGTGACATATTGGAAAGGCAACATCTGTGTTACTACTTAAATTTTAATAATGTGAATCATTTTCTTTCAACAGAGGAATTCAAGGGCTCAACAATAGTTGAATTAATGAAAAAAGAAGGCACCACCCTAGGGCTCACAGTATCGGGTGGTATCGACAAGGATGGGAAACCAAGAGTATCTAACCTTCGTCAGGGAGGAATCGCTGCTAGGTAACCGCATCTCAAGCTGCAAAATGCATTATAATATGTGATTGCCTCAGAAATACGTGCTGCATCAGAAAGGTCACCAAAAAAATATGTGACTGATGCATCTATAATGGCAGCCCATCATACTGGAGAACCTCAGGGAAATGGCAACAGCTGGTCCTTCTTTTTGCTCAAGGCTACTTTGATAAAAACTGGAAGTACCAATGAAATCTTTGAAAGTTGTCATAAAACTCATGGTATTTCTTCTAAATTATACATATTTTATTTCTGGGGTGATTTTTTTGTCTTTGAACAAAAATTTGAGAGAAGCATAACATACTGAGGGGAAAAAAACAAAAGGGGAAAAAAGAATGATAGTGCTACCATAATCTTATTCTTTTTTTAGTTCTTCATTAGATAACTTTGAGATTAAAAAGACTCTAAAGTGATAGGTACCTTGCTTACTACTACAGTGGAAAGAAAAAAGGCTTTTAATCATGAGTGAGACAAGTCAAAAGATGACCGTTGAGCTAAATCGTTCCAAGTAACTGAGTAGAACAAAAAAAAATTTTTTTTTGTTTGGACATTTCCCAAACAGAGAGAGACAAGGATGGGGACATGAAGAAGATGACTTCCCAGATCCTATGCCCAAACCAGTCAAATCATCCAGCTCCTTTATTGTAGGGCTGGTTTTGTACCTCAGGAATAAATAATGCAAAAATGTTCTTATTTTAATATTTAACGAGCTAGAGTAGATTAATATCTTAAAATGCCGCTTTCTGTTCTGTTAGTAATATCAACTCATTTTGATCTAGATTCATAGGAAAAAAAAATTTACAGTTACTAAACAGTAATTTAAAGGATTTAGTTTGGTTCATCAGATCTGTCTTTCAGAAAAGAAATATGTACTTTTCCTTAGGAGTGACCAGCTGGATGTAGGGGACTACATCAAATCTGTGAATGGAATCAACCTGACCAAATTTCGCCATGATGAGATCATCAGCCTGCTCAAGAATGTTGGTGAAAGGGTTGTGTTAGAAGTGGAGTATGAGCTGCCTCCGGTCTGTAAGTACTTCCAGAGCAAAATAAAAGCCTATGTAGAATAGCAGACGTAGTCAACAATGAGATGAGCATGGTTGGTAGTAGTCATTTTAGTAGTGGTTGTTTTTTAATTTTCTTTTCTTAATTCTATTTATTCCTGTGGCTTATCACAGAACGTTGAAGCAGTACAAAAGAACTGGCGGTACAGAGGGATGCTCTCTAATGTTTTAGAAGCAGAAATCTCACCAACAACAGAGCAGAGTTACCAGTCTCTGCTTTTTGTTGGTTTTTTGGTTTTCTGGGGGTGAGGGTTGGTTTTTGGTTGGTTAGTTTTGGTTGGTTGGGTATTATTTGGGGAGTTTTGCTCAGAAGCTGATGAACTTCCCCACTGCTTTCTAGCAGCTGGAGGATTAGTCTAGTTATGTATTTGGGAGTTTTTTGAACCTCCTGACAAGCACACTAAAAAAATTTTGAATGTCCTCTGTTGATTAGTGTTTGCTTGTGGAGAGGGAACTTCATGTTCTGAAGCAGAGTATCTGAATTAATCAGCTGAGTTCAGAGTTACTTTGTTGCAGATGTAGTTCTTTCATCAGCGTTATTTGTTTTGCATTTATTCAACTGGGCTTTCTTTGGTTTTCATCCCCTTTTAGCAATGTACCACTCTTGTTCACTGAGAATGGATTTTGACATACTAAATTACAGCAGCATTTGTAACTTTCTGTTTAATTCTCTGGAACTTCCAGCCTCTTCATACAAGCATAGATGATAAAGTTGGAGATAATTAGCAGACTAGTTGTTTCCATGAACTACTAGTGAGCAAGCTGTTTTTGTTAAACATTAAAGTTTTCCAGTAGTTGTGTGGAGAAGCCCTGGCACTTCCTTCCCGGCCCCATACATAATGAAATTCTACTGTTGTTCCCATGCTTGCTCCCTCAGGCAGAGCACTGTTGCAGTTTCAGAGCCAGAAAATGTCAGTCATTTAATAATGATGGATTAAATTTGGCTGAGCACTGGTAATCCCCCTCCCTAGTGCTTCCTTCCATTTCTGAAGTGTTCACAGCAGGAGGGTCCAGCTGCTGTTTTCAGCACGAGCCACCTCAGTGTTTAAAACTGGAAGGTGAGCAGTGCCTGCCCCATGTCTATTGATGATGGGTGACTCTAATGCAGGGAATAATGTGCTCTGACTCTGTGATTTCAGAAGGCTGAATAATTGCTTTATTAAGCTATACTATGTTACACTAATTCTGTACTACATTACAGACTAAAGAGATACTATACTACAAAGACACTAAAGAAAAACCCATGACTGTCTGGAGACAGTCAGGACACAGCTTTGACTCAATTGGCCAAGGAATCAAAACAACTTTCAGTGGTGTCCAATTAACAAATCACTTTGGGTAAACAATCTCCATAACACATTCCACATGTGCAAAACAAAAGGAGCAGTGAAGAGATAAGAATTGTTTTCTCTTCTCTGAGCTTCTCACTGCCTTCCCCAGGAAAAATCCTAGGATAGAGTTGTGCCTGCTACTCTCTGTGAGGAGAGGTGCGACCACACGTGTCTGCCTTTCCCTGTTGGAAAGGGTTAAGCAGTTTTTTCCCACAGCAGGCTGAGGCTGGGGTGCAAGGTGGCTGTCCCCAAGTGGAAGGAGGCTGCTGCCATTCCTCACTGCTGAGCTGTGGGTTTCACCTCTCCCCTGTGGAAGTTACAGGCCACACCAAACAAATGGGGAAGCGTGGGTTCATCATGACCTACATGCAAGGCCACTTTCTGTCAATAGGAATGAAGGCAAAAGTTGTCTTCTCATAATTCTTTTTTTTTTTATTTTGTCAGTAAAACATTTCTAAATGAAGAGAAAACAACCACATGGACTCAGTAACACAGTTGTGATCTTCAAGCTGTAGCAGGAATTACTGCAGCACAGAGCAGTGCTCTGGAGGGCCATGTTTCACCTGTTTTCCTAAGAAATTGAGATTTATGTGATTTCACTGGGTGGTTCTCCTGTTTCCCTGCAGTAACTTTTTTAATAGGGACTGAAAAACTCAAAAAAAGTACATTTCATACAGTACATCTCCTGGAAATAAACATCTGAGTGAGCTGGGAGCAGGGGGGTCCCCAGAGAGACAAAGAGAGGGGCAGAGAGCACTGAGGGCCCTCTGCTCTTCCTGGTGCCTTTCATGATTGGCAGCACACACAGGGTGGCCTGTGGCACCCTTGCGCCCTCAGGGTATCCTGACAGGGAAACTCTGGTTATTGCAGGCAGGAACATTAAATGACACAAGTTTTCATTAGTTCTGCTCCTCACAGAACATGTATTTTGTAGAGCTGGGTTGGTTTGGTTTTGATTTTTTTTTAATTTTATGTGTGTTTGTACTGTTTGCAGTACTTGAGTGGAAGGTGGAAAGTGTGAGTGCATGTGATTTTACACAGAGTCCTCTTCCCATTGGAAAATAGAGTTCTTAGACCCTGCCAAAGTTTTTCCTGTAAAAGCTAATAGCAAACTGTCTGCTGGTCTCTTAACAGCAGTGGTTTCAAATTCTGTAAAGTGGATTATCACACCCAAATGCATTAGTCTGTGCATTAGGCTTCTCACCTCCTAGTCCAGCTGTACACCAGTTCTTTAGTACTTCCAGAGAAAATACTGACTCAGCTAGAAGCTAAAGAACTTTTTTACCAACTCACCAATTATAAGAGAGCATGCTGCATTTTGAAAAAGAAAAGTCCTTATGATAATAAAATGCATTTTGCATTGTAATCTAGTAACCTAAGATCAAAGAAACAGCCCAAAAATCTTGTCTTCTTTCTAAGTGAGAAAAACAAATGTTTTCAAAGCTAAACAAGAAGCTCAATAGGTACTCTTTAAGAATTTTGTATCATTTTTGTCTCACTGTGTGTTTCTAGCGCTCTTCTGTAACTATAAGAAAAGCAAAATTATGCCATAATTTAAACAGTAAGACTCAATTTCCTCAACTGTTATATGCATCTGTGTCCTTTTTCCACACCATTGTCACTCTGCAAAATATCTATCCCAAAATTCTCTCAAAAAGAGGGTGAGTTCTACGTAATCACAGGTCTTCAGTCTGTCTGTCCTGTAATTGAGCCTTTCCAATTGCATGACTCAATATCTATCTTAAATTAGAAAAGATGTAAATCTGTGTGGTGTATAATTAGAAAAATAATAACCATTAAGTTTTGGATTCTTTTTCTTTTAGCTGTACAAGGGTCAGGTCTCGTCTTTAGAACTGTGGAAGTTACTTTACATAAAGAGGGGAACACTTTTGGATTTGTAATAAGAGGTGAGTCATTGTTGAGTTTGAACTCTGTATTTTCTTGTTTTAAAAAAAAAGTGGTAAGCTTTTGAAGCACTCAGAAATATGTCAAGATTTATGTCTTACAGTTTGTAAAAATCAATATATTACATTTTCCATATTTTCATGTGCTGCTTTTATGAGGTGCTGAAATTTTTGTTAATGGAAGAATTGTAAGTAATCAACTATACCAAGAAAACATGACAAACTCTGGTCACATAACACCAGATGCTTCTCCACTGAAATCTCCAGGAAGATCATAGTTCTTTAAAAAAATTTACATGCAGTACTTCTATATATTAGGCATGAAATTTGATTAATACTGCTGGTAGTCTGAATTGTACAACTAAAATATTATCATTGACTTGGAGAACAGAAAAAAGATGCAGTTGTTAATTAATATACCCCAATAATGAATTATTATTTTCTTCAGGAAAAATGTCGTTTTTCTTTAATGCATAAATTATTAGTGGTCACTAATTAGTCTCCATATACATAAAGTGCAGATTTTTTTTCTCTGTGCTGCAAACATTGCAGAACAATTGTTCACACTGAGATCTTATTTTCAGAGTGAAAATTCTAAGAAAAAAATACTCATTTAGTAAGAATCCCTCCATATAAATGTTTTTAAAGATTCATCTATACCTAGAGTAAGTTGATTTTATTTAGGTAAAATTCAGTGGAGGGTCATATTAATGGCTTGGCCATTTTTTTCATTCTTTTAGCCCATCTGTGAAGGTGCATGATGCAAGATGTAGTCTTGCCTTTTGGAAATGAGCTTGCATAAAAAGCATAAAATGAAGGTATACTTTCTCTGGCTTTTTCCTTTTCAGGTGGAGCACACGATGACAGAAATAAATCTCGTCCTGTAGTAATAACATGTGTCAGACCTGGAGGGCCTGCTGACAGGTACAATTCATCTTTCTCTGGAGTTCATGTGAAAGAGAAATGGAGAAAGGTGAATTATTTGGGACAGAAGTTAAGATTTTGAGTGAAATGGATGCATTTAAATCCAGTCCTTTGGAATTCATGGGTTTGTCTTTAATTGTTGTAATAGAAATAATAATAACTGCAGCAATAGTAATGGGCAGCCACAGAGGCTCAGCATGTTATGGTGTGTGTGAACTTTAATTTAGAATCTTGCACCTAAAATAATTAGAATAAATTCCTGCAATAGGTCAGGGCACCTTTTTTTGCATTCTTCAGACAACTGATGTAGGTCTTAATTATGCTTTTTGTACTCTAACACCACAATCTTTTTCTCTTGTGATTCAAAATAATACTGTGACCAGTTTGAGTGTTTTATTGTTGTGTTAAGATGTTTGTACATATCTGCATGTGAGGTCACACATAACTTTACCTAGAAAACTTCTGAGCACAGATTTATGTTTTGGCCATATTTGTATATAATACCATTATTTATATATATATATATATATATATATATATATAAAGAAAGAATATTCGCTTTATTTTTATGCACAAACTATATTTTCAGAAATGGCATTTGTGTCCTTAAACCATTAAAGAAACTCAAAGGGCAGTTTCTTTAAAGCAGATTGATATCTATAGCCTATGTTGACATTTTCACCTTTGGAAACTAAGAAGAAAATGTTTCAAGTGAGCGTTTCCTTTGTTCCCACACTTTTTTCTCTCCCTCATTCCCTGGTTTCCTTGTTTTTCTCCACGATCCTTAAGTTGACAGTGTTAGTATTTAATTTTCTGTTATAGTTCTGAATAGGTTATGAGATGTGCCTAGGAAACAGCATTTTGGATTTAGAGTTGAATTACTTCTGAGTAGGAAGAAAGGAAAAATGGAATTATGCAAGTAAAAGATATTTTTAAAGAAAATCAATAAATGGACATTCATATTTTGCAATCTGTTTCAGCACCCATGTGTTTGCACCTCATGTTTATTTTTAAGAAAATATTGGAGGAGGAAGTGTTTGTGTATGTATGAAAACAGAGCTGTGTGGACAAGGTAGAAAGAAAGCATATGTTGAGCAGAAGCTATACTTAGATGCAATTTAACGTGACTTGATTATTTCACTGTGTGGTAAGCTGTTTTCCAGTCACCGACTTTCCAATTAAAGCAATTTCCTTTTCACTGCGCCCTCTGATCATTCTGGCTGTCAAAGCAAATGTTAAGTGTTAAGGCAAGAGGGATGGATGTCAGGGAGGGCGCGAGAGAATCACTCTGCATAAAAATGGTACTATGTCCACATCAATTTGTCTTACACTAACAAAGATCCCTCCTTTATTCTCCCTCCAGAGAGGGCACCATCAAACCTGGGGACAGGCTGCTGAGTGTGGATGGGATCCGGCTGTTGGGAACCACGCATGCTGAAGCCATGAGCATTCTGAAGCAGTGTGGGCAGGAGGCGACTCTGCTGGTGGAATACGATGTCTCGGTGATGGGTAGGTCCTGGGGTAGGAGCTGGGGCTGTGACACTGGGAGCCAGCTGTGGTATTTCCCTGCCTGTTCTCCATGAGCTGTTTTAGCAGCGATTGTGACCTGTTATGCTCCTAGTAGCACTGCTATTCCCTTCTGCATTGTATCATTAATCTTGGGTTCATAAGGAGGTGAGCAGTGTTTTACTGTAATTTAGCATTCTGACAATTCCGTGGTTTGTAGGCTGAAACCATAGTGTGGATTCTAGCAGAGTAACTTTTCCAGTGACTAGTTTATAATAAAGGTTAATGAAGTGTAAGCATTTCTGTCACATGAGGGAGGGGAATACTTGATCTAACAAAAATTCTTTTGCCTTTTGCCAGTGCTGCTAGTAGGACAAGACATAATTAAAAAGTCACAAGACTGCCTCAGAGAAAAGAATAGGGGAGAGAAATTTTGTTAAGAAATACAGAGGAGCCAAATGGCTTGAAAAATGAGCTTACATGTTGTACAAACTTTGAATTCACTGAAAATATGGGAGGTTTTTTTGGGAATTCAAGTAGACCAGATGATTTTTAATATGAGATTTGGAATTTATTTGTTTCCATTTGTTTTGGAAATTGTCATTTCCCTTCAATTTTTTCAAGATACAGAAAATTCATAGCAGCAAGAAACAGAAATACTCACCAGTCAGACTGAAATATTTCTTGTCTTTTCCCTTCTTTTTCTGCTCAGCTCCACAGTCAAGTTTCTAGCCTAGCAGTAAAGCAGCCTCCTAGGGATTTGTGAAATAGCACTGTCAAACTTCAAAGCCTTGGAAAAGATTAATACTGAAAAGAATAATGTGAGATATTTGCTTATTCTGGAACAGCCCTCTTTATTCTTCTCTGAGACACAGATTTCTCTTTTTTTATTACAATATATGTCTCTGTTTACTTAACTGTCAAGAATTGAAGTGGCAGGTTTGTGTAGTGTCTGGCAGGCCTGATGGACAGTTGTACAGATTCATGTCCAGAAAGGTGGAGACAGCTCAGATGAGCTCTAGCTTCTGAGGAGAACTAGAATTTAGGTGTTTTCATTTGTTTCTTCTTTTTCTTCGAAAGACAATGGGTGACCGAACCCTGTCCATCATCACAGTTAAACCAATATTCTTTCTACTCCACTTTTTCTAAAATGAACCCCTGGCTGTAGACAAAGTTCCCAGCAAACTTTCATTTCAGAGAAAATTCCCATCCCAATTTTCCTTATATACCCCAGGGGGTGAGTAAGCCTCCATTTCACTGAGGATCTTCTGGAAACCTTTGAAGGTTTGTGTAAGGAGGAGACCACGTGATGAAATACTCTGTTGTTTCCTAAACTGCAGCTTGTTCAAGGCAGGAACTTTATTTTCAGTACTATCTGGATAGAGCTCAGTTCAGGAGGATACAGAACTTAGGTGGAAATTTCAGGGTTGCAACTCTATAGGCAGCACCCACCAATCAGTTTCTTTGTGTCATTTTCTCTCTTAATAAACTCTTCTTGTTCTCAGCACCAAATCTGGATTTACTATTCCTGCCTTCCTGGCAATGAATGTGTTATCCAACAAAAATTAAAGGAGGTAGAAGAACCTGAGACTCGTGGAGTCAGAAGGAAAGAAGGAAAAGGAAATCAAACACTGGGAAATGTATGGAGTGGTGATCCAGCAGAGTCTGCAAGATGAAACAGGGAGGGAACCAGTAGACTGTCTTTCTAATGCATTGTGATAATACCTAGCCCCCAGTAGGTTTTGAATTTTTTCCAATCTGTGTGCCCTGCATAGTATTTAGCAATGGTGTGAACAAGAAATTTTGTTGGGAAGCTCTCTTGTGCAGCTATTTTATGACCATGGTGCAAAGGCTGAAAATCATTCACCCTAATCCATTGAATCCTGGCCAGGAAACCTTTTCTGATTTGAATCTTCTCTTAGTTCTCCTCAAGAGCAGGAAAGTTAAAGTTGGGAGTAACGTGAAAGAGAGAGCATGAGTCATGAAGAGAAATTTAAAAATTACAGAAATGTTATCCTTTTTTCTCAACTCTTATGTTGCCCATAAACTGTTTGTAATGCTGTCTGAGGGTTGATGAGAATTTGAAAATAGGCTAAAACAAAGGGAGAATATTGGGTAAGGTGACTTTTCAATAACTGATGCTTGAAAATAGATTAGTAGGTTAGCCTGCTTGAAGGGGACAGAAGCAATCCAAAAGTTGCACAGAAGTCTTGTGTAGTCTGTAGAGTCCTCCTGGTATAAGTTTTCAGTAGAATATATTACTCCTAGAGATATAATTGTAGCACTGTTTGCTTCAATACCTTCTCTTCTGTTAGTGATGGTAATATCCTGTAAAGTAGCATTCTGTGTGGCCAGAACTGGAAAGAGCCATAAAATACATTCTGATAGCATGAAATTGGAACTTGATTTGAAATGGTTTTACTAGATGAAGAAAATAATCCTGAACTATTTTTCAACTACAGTCCTGTAGTGTGTAACTGACTTTTCTTACTCCTGTAAGCATAAGCTGTTTCAAAGGTGCTCTATTTCTCAAAGTTTAGTTCTCCCAGCTGAAATCTTCAAGAGGTCACTTGGCAAGCTTGTACATTTTATTGTTTCTGGACCCTAGACAAACTGGAGTAAAAAAAGCATCAAGGGGTTCTGTGCAGGGTAATCAAGTGTGTATATAATGTAAGAGATGTGGCTGTTCTTGTTGAACTCTAGGGTTACACCTGTGCTTGCTTAATACATCCTGAAGTCTCCTGCTCTGCTGGGTCCAAGGAAATAAACTTGTCAATTCAGCTTCTTGGAAGAGATATTTTTTTTTTTAGATGTTGCTGAAAATATTTCCAGGTTGGTGTGTGGAGTGTATTGCTGTAGTTTCAAAGAGACTTTGTCATAGTAGGAGTTTGAACATACCAAGATAATCCCTGAAGAAAATTGAAAAAGCTAATTTCTGAGAAAGTATTTTATAATGTGATAAGTTACATTTGAAGCTGTGGAGGATGCAGTCTTCCAAATGTGTTTCTGTTTTGCAGAACACATTCTCCAGTGTTGAAGTACTGTTATTGCTTACCTTTCTTGTTGATTTTAGAGGAACTGCCTGTGTTTTTAAACTTTGTGATGCTTAAATAATGCTGTACTTCAGTGTTTGCAAAGGACATGGATGTGGTGACTCGCTCTACACAAAACTGTGTAGAATTAACATGATCTTTGTGGGCTTTATTACTCTTCTCTGTAGTCCTTACACCTTAAGTGTCTAAAATTTCTGGTCTTGTGGGTCACCTATTTTCATCTAGTGGTGGGAGAGGTCTGTATAGTGCAACTCTCTGTGCCCTGTGATTACACCTGAGCCCTAATTTTGAGGAAGGGGAGAAGCAGAGGCCAGGTTGTAGCTAGCAGTGACTTGCTGCTGCTGCCAAGATAATTTTACAACCTGAATTCTCTCCTGTGGCAATCAAATAAAAGATATTAATTCCAAGCTATAAAGTTAGGTTGGAGAGACTGAAATTCTCACTGTTAGGCAGTGGTCAGGGGAAGTATCATAATTAGCTGCTCACAGCTGGAGTTTTAGTGAGAGTAAGAATGCAACACTAATAACAAGCTACAAACAAAGATTCACGGTGCCTTTGTCTAAAACAAACAATAAAAGTTTATCAGTACATTGAAGCTGAGGAGATGCATTTTGTCTTCAGGTTTTCAAAGATCTGCCATGATGCCACTGGGCTCTGTGTGGTGTCTATAATTGGGGTTGCATCTGCTTGGGTACTCTTCCATATTTTCTCTGAAAGGGAGCAATCAGATAAGTTCAAAGGTAGTGACTACCTTGAGTTTAAATTCTGACCATTTTTATGTAGTTCATATCTAGAGTTTATGATCTTTTGAGCAACCTACTTTTTAAGTCTTGGATGCTCGTGCGGGGGCAATCTTTGAATCAAGGATACTGTAGTTAAAAAAAACCAGCAGCTTTTGCCAGAACTTGGACACAAAAGAAGCTTTTTTTAGTTGTTTGCACTTGTGAGACACAACATCTTTCTCTCTTCAGTGGGTGTTTGTTAGTTCAAACCACTCTGTGGTGTTCAGGAGTAAAGGAACATATTGCACTTTCAAATTCCATATGTTTTTCTGGCTTCTTTAACAGTTCTTGCTCTTATTCGAGCCAGGATAGATTTGCTGGAATGTGGTACCCTGTAAGTTTTCTCTACAAAACAGAAACAGTCAGCTTGTTTTCTGTTGCAAATCTACCAGAGTCACCCTGACACAGAACTGCTTGATTTTAACTAAAGCAACACCCTCTATTTTCTGAACTCAGTGTTTAACACTGATAGAACTTCCTAGAAAGGGGAATATTGATGCAGACATTTGCTAGTAAATCTTTTTGCTAGCCTCATCCAAGGCTTTTGCCTCTTTAAATTCACCTATTACAATAAGCTAATTAATTAATTAATGCTGTCATGACCTTATGAAGGTATATTTAAAGAAACCTGCTTCACCTTTTAGCAATTCTGCCTGACAAGAAGGGCACTAGGGAGAGAAAATTTGCATAGTTTAAAGATCAGGTGAGATAATCTGCAGTTCTAATGTAGACATTCAGCAATTTGTGGAAGGCGAGAAATAGAGGAGAAAAAAGAACTTATGGGCTGACCCTTAAGTTTCATAAAGCAATATCACTCAAGTGCATCCAGAGCTGTGGAGACCCTTAAAAGCTGGAAATTTTACAAGCCCAAAGGAGCAGGAGCCCCAGAGACTCCAAGGTCTGACTTAGGATCTTCATAAGCCTTACAAGTGTTGCAAGACCTTGCAAATAGAAGTAAAGTCAGGAACCCTGTAGGATTCCACACTGCCTTTTTCTTTCTGTTGCTTTATAAACTTAAAATGTACATTTCTCTTGTCTCATATAAGGTTTTGACAGAATAGATAGGTTAACATACTCTAGCATTTGACTGCAGCTGCAGGTCTCCTGGCTATACAGGGCAATGAATTGAGATCCCTTGAAATTCTAAGTATGAATTAATTGCTTAAAG